GCCTTCTGTCGTGGAACGGACTGCCCTTTCGGCCATCGAGTTGGATTGGTGGATATACTTCTTGCTCTTTTCGTGTCTCCAACCAAGAGACTTGGCACTACGTTCGAGCTCTTTGGCATTGTCGCTGTAGAAGACGCCAACCTTATCCTTACTCGAAACGAAATGTTGAAGTGCAGCCTTACACTCCATTTCATCTTTCAGTGCAGAAGGATACGCATACATGAATGAAGTCGCCACATCCTTGATCACGAGAGCCAATCTAGCTTCTTCAATGACCTCATGATTGTCCCTGTAGATCACCACATGATCGGCGGTAATGTGATCACCGAAGCTGGTGGCTTCGACGGAACGAAAGCCATCGGTCTTGTAACCCGGGGCCTTGTACATCTTAGCCTGATTGCATACCGAACAATAGGGATTCTTAGGGATGTGTGTCATGAGATGATGCAACGAAGTAGCTTCCTTCTTAAGCTTTTCAATTCCCTTAAGAACTTTGGGATCAGAACTGCCCTCCCCATCTGGGACCTTAGACTCTCCGTCAGGAGGTCGTCCAAGATCCGGCTTGGGCGGTTCATCAGGTTCGATGTCCGAGCCGAACTCATCGATCATGCGACTGAGATGCTCTTGCTCACTGAGCTCAGCAGTTTGCTTTGCTCCTGATTTTTCAAGATCTTCAAGGAGCTTGTCGAACTCCTCAGCGGCTTTGCTAGATGCATCTTCGGCAACATCGGACTTAGGAGGTTTCTTTTCTTTCTTTTTCTCCGATTCCCTAATCTTGACCTTAGGCTTGGTCCTAGGCTCGGAAGGCCTTACCGCAGAACCTCGTGTTACAAGGTCCTCAAGCGGCCGTTCATCCTCGGAATCGGGAGCGAGGGCAGGAATCGCAGTACGCTTAGAGAGATTGAACCCATAACTCCGAAGCTTGGCAATTTCATTGCTCTGAAGCTTGGGAACAGCTCGATTGACGTACGCGGTAATGCTCCATCTATCCCCTTTCCAAGGAAGAACACAGTGAAAACGTTTGGGATCGAACTTCACAAGTTTGTTGCGGGAGACGCGTTTCTTGCCATACAAAGTCTTCAACCCTACCTTCTGAGTGATGACATTGTGCTCTCCCTTTCGGGCAGCGGGGTCGTGAATCCAAAGTTCACCACCTTCGAAGCTGCCAAGACTGATAGTGAAATTGGTGGAATCCTTCATGTTGTGAGCATCCTTGTGAACCTTAACGGACGAACCGTGATTGATGCAAACCGATGAGCAATCTCCCGTCATTCCATGATTCTGGAGGAATGCATTGATGTATCGGGTAGAATGGGCATACTTCTGCGTACGGTTAGTAATGCCCTGGACGCCGCCATGAGCGAAAGCGCCAAGCACAAGGTACTCGACGTTTCCGTCGGTGCGACTCTGGTTGTTTGTAATTGACTTACGATTGCTCTTGGAGGGCTTGCAGTTCATAGATTGCAGTAGCTTCAGACAAGACTTACACTGGAAGTCAAGGTTCTCAAGTAACTCTTTTGCAATCCTCTCTGACTCCTCAACATACTTGCCAGGTTTCTCAACCGGCGATGCAGGAAGGCTGGGCTCCGGACGTGGTCGCGCGGGAAGCGCAACATTCTCCTTCCAAGACTTCAGGTATGGAACGTTGTCCTTCACATCGAGATAAACCTTGTTCCCGTTGTGGTCCCTGAAGTAGGGTCTACAATTAGCTCTCCAGATAAAGTCAAACCCTTCCTCCATGCACTTCTGTCCAACCGAGAGAACGGATGGTGAATCGGGTAGAACATATGGTTCGGCGGTCGTATTGATCGAAGGAATCCTAACCTTGCATTGTTTGTCAGCATAGTTAGGTCCGTTGGCGGTAATCATGTTGATAGGCCGATCCGACAAGAAATCCTTTACTTCACCGAGAACGTTTTTCGATATCAAATCCTGAGCACTGCCAGTGTCGGCAATCCATTCCATTTCAATCACAGGATCTGATCGGCTCCCCTTTGCTGGGCATCCGACAGATATGCCGGGCGCAATGCAATGAGCACAACCGAACTCAGTCTTACACATGAACTTACATGCTGGATTCGTACCTTGGTTCATACCTTCAACGGTTGACCTCAGCATTTTAGCTGTCGCCAAAGCATCCCGAACATCCTGCCCATCAGGTTTGGGCTTGTAGTTAACAGGAAATTCTTCACTGAAAACCCTCGGCTCGATTTCAACCTCACGCCACTTGGAAGATTCAGGGGGCGTGGGAATGTAGTGATACTCAGGAGCATTCGAGAATCGCACAGATGCCAGAGCAACGTGAGCGGTGCTTGCACACGAGTCAATGAAGTTCGGCATTTCCTTCCGGAAAGCGTGTGCATCGGCTTGGGATGCCGAACCTGCGACAAGTGCGCCTAAGAGGCAGACGGCGGCCGGAAGCGAAGCCTTAGGTTTCCGCCCCCCCGAGCCCTTGCTGTTCCCAGAGCCTTTGCTCCCCTTGGAGCCTCCACTACCCTTGGAACTTTTAGAGCTGGAGCGAGACTTCTTCCTATGCTTCTTTTCTTTCTTCTGTTTCTTACTCTTCTTTTCGCCGCTAGACTCTCTACCGCTACCAGTGGCAGGAGCAGAAGGCTGGCCTTTGTGTATGAAACGGCACTTGTCACCCTTGTTGCATTTACCATGCTTGAAGAATTTGCACTCAGCATTAATCTTCCCAGGAGAAGGGCTCCCCCTTGCGGAGGGCGACTTGCCTCGGCCTTTACCTTTGCTTGGTGTCCTACCACGTGGCTTCTCGGGTATCTGATGCTTATAGGAACATTTTTCTTTGTTGCACGAACCGTTCCGAACAAAGTCAATGCAGAAGCCTTTGGGCACACGCTTTAGCGGTGCGGGTGCCGATGGCATACCTGCTGCGGCCTGCCTTGCAATCCGTTCCCGGTTGCGCTCAAGCCGTTTGATCTTGATGACTCGGTTAACGGCATTGTACAGGTATTCATAGGATTTCTCCTGTGTGCCGTCTACTGCCCTTTCATAGATGGCTATGTCGTGCGCCAAAAGCTTACACTTCTTAACCTGTCTATGAAACAAGGGTTGCAAAACATCGTCAGCAGGTGCTTTCTTCATGCCTGAGAGGACAGTATCCCAATTACGCACGAATTGCACAAGATTTTCGTTAAGCATGACGACGTTGAGCAGATCCTCCATATCGTACACAGACCCGTGGAGTGCGTTGGTCGACAAATAAGCGTTGAGCTTATGTAGAATCTGTCGGCCACGAACTAAGCGTCCTTCGTGTCCTTCCCTCTCTTTAAAAGTGTCAATCTGGCGAGCAAAATCACCTTCCAGAATGTTTGTGATTGCCGAGAGGATCTTCGCATCAAGCGTTGTGAAACCGTTAGGATCACGAAGGGACTCTTCCGTGGTATCATCCTTCCACACTTCACCGAGCCACTCGAAAGCCTCATCGGGACGGTCAGAGGCGGCGACCACAGCCTCGCGTGCGCGAAGCCTCCAGTTGCGATAGTTCTCTGGCTGGGGAAACTTTGGAAACACAATCTTCTCAGCTTCCTTCACCTTGGGCGTTCCCCTTGTCGCCTCGGTTTCCTCGACATCATCCTTGTCTTTTTTCGACTTAACGACTTTCTTGAACATCTTCAGGAGGTCCTTTTTAGATAGGGAGATAGACGACGATGATGATGAATCAGATGAGTCTCTTTTCTTTTTCTTCTTTTTGTCCTTTTTCTTTTTCTTCTTCTTGTCACGGGAATCGTCATCGGGCTCATCCCCGTCGCCGTCGCTTTCGGGAGGCGAGTCATCTCCACCTCCCCCTGGCGGGCCACCATCTACTTTACCCAGACCCGGAGGGGTATGAATAGGGTGTTCAATGGGAGACTGATCTCCTACGGCAGTTGGTGAATATGCCGTGGCTTTCGTCAGGCGATCACGAAGCTCGGCATTGGTGCGCTCAAGCTTCGTCATCGACTCAGCCTGTTGGCGATGCACTTGCATGAATGCACCCATCTCAGACTTGAGTTGGCTTAGTTCGCCATTCATGACTGCAACGGTGTCTTGGCTAGCCCGACTTCGATTAGCCAGCTCTCTTTCAGCTTGGGCTACAACGTCGGAGACTGTAACCTCAGCCTGATGAAGCCTGAGCTTGTAGTCAACGGCTTCACGTCGCATCTGCGACAACTCGTCGCTGTGCTTATTAGCCATGCTTTCGCCGGCTGCTCGAAGCATTTCTTCTTTCTGTTGCAGACGACTCTCCGCTTGGGCAAACTCCAACCGAAGTTGGGCAGCACCGGATAGCGCCTGTGCATGAAGCTGGTTGAATTGCTCCCTATGCAAATTGTTTGCTTCGGCCATGATCAATCTGTGGCGTGCTTCAGCTTCAGCTGCAGCGGCTGGTCCTGTGTCTACTTGATGTACATGGACTGCTTGTTGCACCGTTGGCGCAAGGACATTTTGTTGATAGTAGTTCGCGACGTTTCTGATCTCGCTGGGTGAATATTGGGCCACATTATATTGTTGAGGCGATCCCGCCAGGGATGCGAGTTGGTGCGCTGGGCTTGAGACATATGCCCATTCTGACACCGCTCCTGGTGCACCTCTTCGGGGATCTGGTTGGGCCATCACGGCCAAGGCCTCTGCCGTCAGAGGAACAACTTGGCCACCCTCTCGGGTACCGGGGACAGCCGGATCCGTGCCATCGTCTTGGACGGACATGGCAGGAAGAGAACTGAGATCCTCGGTATCGACGCGAGCCGCGGAAATGTCTATCGCGGGAATACCTGCAGGATTTACGGGAGCATCCATCGCGATCTACAAACGAAGTGAGACCTACGGCTGATAACCTATGTTTACAGGCAGAACAGCCTGAATGCAGACGCATATTTTCTTGAGCCAATGAACGACAGTAGGTGCAGGTGACTAGCTACATCTTCCACAAAATACATACTCGTAAGAAATCAGCTGACTGAACCCTACGACTCCCAGCCTTGAAATGACAGCCCAGAATCCTGACCGGTGACGACAGAGCCGTCGTCCTGGATCCTCCAGATAACGTCTGCTCGCTGTGCCTTAAGGAGGCAGGCGCAAGTTTCTCGGCGCACACATCAGAACCGAACGCAAACTCCGTGGCGACAGCAGTAGCCAGAACAGTCGAACATCAAGTCTCTAGCAGCACAACTCTGTCATACCCGCAACAAAACTGATTATCATATGGAGCCAGCAGCAAAACAGAACAAAAACACCAAGCATCACGCGGAAGACATGACACTCGATAACAGGTTTGCTGTCAAGTACCAGATAGCAGTATGGGTTCCCAAATTAGGGGATGTATGACAAAACACGACTCGGAGGCAATGAACTTAGCCTTTAACAGGAGACCATGACGGTTAGCATAATGTGATGTGGCGAGAACTCGTAGCAATAAAAGGCAAAACAGAACACCTTATGATGAAAGCCACATTATGACACGATTCAGTGATGTCAAGTTACCGCCATCAGTAGCATGCTGCAGTCACCCAGCAGTGGCCAGCGTGCCATGTTTAAGATATGAAACACACAAATACACAGCACTGACCAAGTGTTGCTCATTCTATTCCTTCTCCTCCTCCAGCTCCTGCTATGACCTGATTACCGGGCCGAAGATGTGCTTCAAACTTTCCGACAAGTGTAAATTCTGGAGAATTGCAAAGCCTCGCACCCTGCGCATGTGGAGCCGCTCTTTCCAAGAGTTGTTCCTGCCCCATGCACCATCCTCCTGCTTCTCTCCTGCTCATTATCACCATCATCATCGTCATCATCATTGTCGTGGCTTTTAGGGCCGTCGCCATCTTGACCATCTTCTGCATCGTCATCATCACTGTCAAAGTCATCGTCATCATCTTCGTCCGTCATCACAACTCAGCATTTATCATGCCTTGCAGCGTCACGAAATTATTCCGCATCTCCTTCTATTCTCAGTGCCGCAGTATCTTCTACTTCTTCTTCTCCTTCGGCACCACAGTCAGCGTCACCATCGGCTGCCAACTGCACCACCATGAACTGCATCAGCATCATCGGCATCATCGGCATCATCGGCATCTTCAGTATCACCAGCATCAGCAGTATCGTCAGCATGAGCATCATGGGACCACAACTAGTAGCACCATCAGCACATCATCACCTGACGATCACTACCATGACCATCATGGATTGCCATCGCACCATCGTCATGGTCATCACGAGAAGAGCTGTCGCAACCCCCAGTCTCATCATCGTTCTTCTCCTCCACTAACTCATCCTCGTCATCGAATGCTCATGACGGAGAGTACCAGGTTCATGATTGCAATGATAGCATTATGGTCGCCTGAACTAATCCGAATCCGGACACTAGGCCTGGGAATGCTCCTCCGCCGTGAAGAACACGGTCCTGGGGCGGCGCCGCCCCACGCTCTCCTCGAGGGAATTGTCCCGGGTCAGGCTTGTGGGCCCACTTCTGCTACGTTTGTGCACTTGTAGCACCAGCAGCCTTGTTGCGACAAATCTTCATGTGCTGGGATTTAAAGCTTAAGCACCCCCTGAGTCCTAAACCCCAAAACCGCCTCACACGCTCATATCATCCACGCCAAACCCAACTATGCCACAAAACCCTGATATGCCCGCGAGCGCGAAGCCCAAGACATGCGGAGCAAGGAAAAATCACGATCCGGATTTCTGAACCCCCAACCTTCCCAAAACACATTAATAGCACCAGGAATATCACCGGCCATCATCAGCGTCATCTTAGAAAGGAGCGTGAGGAAACGGGGTTCCTTTGTTTCAGGGGCTTCGGGTGTCGGGGTGTAGCGGGCTCAGCGTCAGGCTTGTTTTGCAGACCTCGCGCTAAGAGGTTTTGCTAAGATTAGGGTCGGTGCAGTTCATGTTTAGTCTGGAAACTCACCATGCGAAGCATTGTGGAACCCGCAAGGAAATACTGCTACCGGGAAAAGCCATCAACAGCTGATCGTTGAACACCGTTGAAAGGAAAGCTGAAGTTTTTGGGCTTATAGGGTTTGGGGTCTAAGGTCGAGCCGTGGTGTGGGACGCAGGGTTCAAGCATTCAGGATGTTAATATGAGGTTTAGGCTTGGGGCCACCTGAAATCAAAGGCTTTCGGGAGGATTTCGCAATTCGCTTCGCGCTGAACGAGAGCTAGTCTCCTAGCTTCCAGTATTTCTCAAACGCTACTTCTGTCCTACATAGTGCTTCCTTTTGGTGTCTCCAATACACCTAAACCCAAAACCCAAACCCTCACCCCTAACCCCTGAACCCAAAAAGCCCTAAACGCTAAACCCAAAAACCCCTAAACCCCAAACCCAAAAACCCCTAAACTCCAAACCCAAAAGCCCGTAAACCATAAACCCAAAAATCCCTAAACCCTAAACCCTGACCCCCTCCCCCCCCATGGGCCGAGTGTTTTTTGCCGCTTGCTCCGGTCCTCAGGGAGCCCCAGACCCCGCTCGTTCACGTGGGCCTCGTCGGGTGGATGCTTATCCTCCTCATAGACTATTAGTACTACTATTATAGCTATTATTGAAACTGCTATTATTATTATTACTATTAGTATTACTATAGCTGCTATTGCTACCATTATTACTATTTATTACTATTATTCTTGCTATTACAGTAAGGCAGTAGGGGTAACGGTAGCGGCAGCAGTACTAGTACTAGTACTCGAAGTTACTAGTAGTACAAGAAGCACGAGTAGTAGCAGTAGCAGTAGCAGTACTACTACTGCTATTACTACTACTACTACTACTACTACTACTACTACTACTACTACTACTACTACTACTACTACTACTACTACTCTACTACTCCTCCACTACTACTTTACTACTACTACTGCGACTACTACTACTACTACTACTACTACTACTACTACTACTACTTCTACTACTACTACTACTACTGCTACTGCTACTGCTAACTGCTACTGCTGCTGCTACTGCTACTGCTGCTGCTACTGCTACGGCTACTGCTACTGCTGCTGCTGCTGCCACTGCCACTGCTGCTGCTACTGCTGCTGCTACTGCTGCTGCTGCTGCTACTACTCCCGCTATTGCTACTGCTACTACTACTACTACTACTACTACTACTACTACTACTACTACTAATAGTACTACTACTACTACTACTACTACTACTACTACTACTACTACTAATATAGATGTATATGTAAGTACGACTAGCACTGGTATTACTACTATAACTAGTAGCACTAGCAGCGGCAGCAGCAGTAAGTCCATAGCCCTGGCGGAAATAGGACACTCGTTTTGGCAGTGACGGGTGCTCGTATTGGTACCAATATTCGCAGCGCTCAGCTCTGGCATTAGGATACAGGACTTAGCGAGAAGTCGTGAAACGTCGGACAAGGAGGTAGTAATAAATAGTAATAATGGTAACAATAGCAATAATAGGAATACTAATAGTAACAATAATAGTAAAAATAGTGGTAATAATAATAGCAAAAAAAAGTGGTAATAATAATAGTAATAATAGTAGTAACAATAATAGCAATAATAGTAGTAATAATAATAATAGTAATGATAGTAGTAATAATAGTCTATGAGAACGTGGGAGCCGGAGCCCGGCGGAAAGCAAGTCGATATCTGTAAACAAGGTTACAAGCAAACGAAATTTACTGTGATGATGGTCCTGGCCTTTAAAGTAAAAGCCAGAAAGTTGGAATATTATTATCCTAAGCCCTTTATGGACAATTGTAAGGTATCCTACCCTGAAACCATATTCCAACTTTCTGGAGTTCCCTGTACGACTGGTGAGGATACTGAGCGTGGCAATCGACAGGGTTAGTGGTGACTTACTTCTATGCCGCATGCTTGCAGCATAATGACCCGGCGCCCGTAAAGAGAAAGGCACGCTGAACCTGAAGCCCTGGATAAATCGACACCTGCGACACCAACAGTGGCCCGGCCTTAAGCAGGTCCAGCACAATCCTCAGCTTTAGGTGCGTCTTGCAAAGGTCCCCCGTCTAGGTTTAATCTGTCAGGTTTGGGAGACTCGGGCTTCGTGTGTACATGGCCAGGAGGGGTTTGGAGAACTCATATCAAGAGCCTGCAGGACCAATACAGCAAAAAGGGTAGGACTAGGCACATCAGGATATCATTCCAACAGAAGGTAGTTGACATTAAACATGATACTGACTCTATTCGTCCCCAGTGGTGGTCGCCGTCTATAAGTACCATAGCAGTGTAGAGACATTCAGCAACGGCAGCAGAAGTGCTAGTGGTAAGGTGGTAATGGTAGCAGGAGCAGGAGCAGTGGTCCTCGCTGAGGGCGTAGTCGTCTGCGGTGCTCTACGAAGAAACAGATCCACGACTCCCAACAGCAACATTCAGCTGAGGTTTATGCTGGGTGGCGTGCCATCAGAAGTATAAGCTGTGGTTGAAGGCTTTACCGGTTTCGACGTTGATTTTCCCGCGCATGCCGCTGCTGGCCCGTACATCAAGCATGCAGTACGATCAGCCTCCAATATTGCTGGGGCATGTTGCCGCAGAACCAAATACAGTGTGGCAGCCACGATCGCAAGGACGACTACGAATTGGAGGACGACGAGCAAAGACTTTGCAAGAAGCAAGCTTAAGCAGCGACACACTGCACCCTTGTGTCAAAATCAGCTGGAGCTTCTTGGCCGTGTTTGCATCGTAATGGTGGAGAGGCCGCTGCAGAACCATGACCTGGTGCAGTTAGCGGTAGACTCTGACCCCAAAGGTCGGCACACCATCTTCAGTTGCATGAGCCAAGTGATGCAAGTGCCTGGGTACTGCGCATATCCACAAACTTGCAGAACGAAAGAAGACTTCAGAGAGAGCACTTCAAAGCTTCTTAGCAAAGTGTACATGAGGCCACTACAAACAAGATGAAACGATCCTCTAGCAATCCTACTTGCATGGCTGTAGCATGGCTGCAGCTGCTCCATCGACTCAACTCATCAAGCTGAGTGCGAGGAAGCCGGATGAAGGTCCTGTAGCATCCATGCCTACTGCTTGCCTGGTACTTCACTACTTGCGACTAAAGCTGTTGGCATTGGCAGCGCCATGTCCGCATTCAGCGTATTGTTTGTTGTGATGCTCCCGTTGCTGCCGCCTGCGGTTACTGCCGTGCGGCTGCTGTGACGACGACGACCACTACTACTGCCTCTACCACCACTACTACTACTACTACTACTACTACTACTACTACTACTACTACTACTCCTGCTGGTACTGCTGTAACTACCACTACTGCTGAAGCTGCTGCTGCTGCTGCTGCTGCCACTGCGACTGCTACTGGTACTGCCATTGGTGCTGAGACTGCCACTGCTATTGCTACTGATACTGTTGCTTCCGAAACTCCCATGTGCCACAAACAGCTGCTGAAATGCCTTAACATCTGCATCCACGGAACCGCGCATCAAAGAGCTAAACCCGAAACGCCAAACACTAAACCCTGAAGCCACAAGAAACCCTGAGTCTTTGTTAGGTTTTTAAATATGAATCCTATAATCTACTGGGGCCAAGGTTTCTTAATCAGCTTCCTACATTACCGCCTGAACTAGCCCTAAACCAGACCCTAAGCCTGAAGGCCTGAGCCCTACCTTAACCCCAAGTAACCTGCCGTTTTAAAGACTTATATAAAGAAATCATATTAGGGCACCCTAAAAAGGTAGGTTCCTTAGGGTCCAGGTACCGCCTGAATCTGGAACCCTCTTCCCAGGCCTCAGGGTTCATGATGAAGGCACGGGCAAGGTGGAGTTTTACCTCTCGAGGGTAGGAGTCGCTAAGGAATCTTGGCATGGGAGGTGGGGCCTCACTTAGCTTCGTAGTGGCGATTCCAGACCCTAAACCTCTCTGCTTTGCTGCCGTGACGGGTGCGAGTCTCAGTGGGCAAGCAGTCAGGTGCTGCCTTCGTGTCCCACCTGTCAATAGGCATTGAAAACATGCCCGTCTGTCTTCTGAATCAGATAACCAGAGGTCCATCGCGCTTCGGGTGTGGGAGTTTGGGGGCTTTGGCTTGCCTTTCCGTGTTTTTGCGTGGTCTCATGCTTTCGCCCGTGGACCTGCGTTGAGCCCATCCGCCAATACAACAGTAAGACGCCAGTCTCCGCGTACGCCAGCCAGCCCCGAAATCAAGCCCCCCTAACAAGCCCCGACACATCCCAGAGATGGTCCTTGAACTATGACCTGGCATGGAGAATCGGAGCGGCAACACCGAAAGCCCTCTTGCTGCCATCAAAACGAAAACAACCGCCACTCTCCATCTCCAGAGCCAAAGGCCCCGCCCTTCTCGGCCCGGGCCTTCTCCGTGTAGTTGATCGAACTGAGCCAGGACTCCCCAGAAGTCTTGGAGAGGTCTTGGGCCTCGCAGACCAAGGCTGGGGTCGGGGGGTGCAGGGTGAAAGGTGGGGTGTGCCTTTATGGGGTGACTCTTGCTAAGGACAAAACCTACATGACCTTTCTTTTCTATGGCCACTATTAAGGGGTACCTGCAGCTGGCGAACACGGTAGCAAGGACTCCACCGAAACCCTTTAAACCAAAGGTAATTGCACTCGTCGCCGATGCCGTTCGTGTCATTCTTGAAAGTCGTTGCTGTTGCTGTTGCGACTGCTGATGTCATTGTTGTTGCTGATGGTGATCTTGTTTTGTTCGTCATCTATTACCACTACCACTACCACTACCACTACCACTACTACTGCTACTGCTACTGCTACTGCTACTGCTACTGCTACTGCTACTGCTACTCCTACTCCTACTCCTACTCCTACTCCTACTCCTACTCCTACTCCTACTCCTACTCCTACTCCTGCTGTTGCTGCTGCTGCTGCTGCAATCACTACTACCACTGCCACTACTACCACTACCTATACCACTATGACCACATCTGCCACTGCGACAAGCACTACTACTGCTATTACTACTTCTACTACTACTACTACTTCTACTACTACTGCTACTACTACTACTACCACTACCACTACTACTACTAATACTTATACTAATACTACTAATACTAATACTACCACCACCACCACCACTACTACTACTACCACCACCACTACCATTACCACTACCACTACCACTACCACTACCACTACCGCTACCACTACCACTACCACTACCACTACCACTACCGCTACTGCTACTACTACTACTACCACTACTACTACCACCACTACTACTACTACTACTACTCCTCCTACTACTCCTACTACTGCTACGACTACGACTACGACTACGACGACTACGACGACGACGACTACTACTACTACTACCACTACTAGCAACCCCCCCGCCTACCCACTACCTCGTGCTACATACGCTTGTAACACACATCCGTTTTGCTCGATATTTACAGCACTTTCGGCATGTAGCAACATCTTATGAAGCCTCAAAAATCACCTCCGAGTTTTGAAACTCTGGGATCGTTTTCGGAACTTTTCTTTTTGGGGTGGGTGGGAGGGTGCGGGAAGAATGATGACGACATCGTTACGCCGACACCCCGAACAACATCTCCGGAAGAGCCATTTTACTCGGTATTTACATTGCTTTCGCGACGTCTGCCCTCTTTCCAGTCGCCAAGCCTACCTCTGGACTTTTCTATGTTGTCTTTTGCCTTTGCGAGGGCTTTCAGCGAAAAACTCGAAATTGGGTGGGGGAAAGATTTTTTACTCGGTCTTTAAAGTACTTTGCACATGTCACACTCCATTACTAACAACGAGTTTTCAAACTCCAGCATCCGATTCTGGACTTGCTTTTGGCGGGGGGTTGGGAGGGGGGTGCGGGAAGAATGATGACGACATTGTTACGCCGACATCCCGAACAACATCTCCGGAAGAGCCATTTTACTCGGTATTTACATTGCTTTCGCGACGTCTGCCTTCTTTCCAGTCGCCAAGCCTACCTCTGGACTTTGCTATGTTGTCTTTTGCCTTTGCGAGGGCTTTCAGCAAAAAACTCGAACTTGGGTGGGGGAAAGCTTTTTTACTCGGTCTTTAAAGTACTTTGCACATGTCACACTCCATTACTAACAACGAGCTTTCAAACTCCAGCATCCGATTCTGGACTTGCTTTTGGCGGGGGGTTGGGAGGGGGGTGCGGGAAGAATGATGACGACATTGTTACGCCGACACCCGGAACAACATCTCCGGAAGAGCCATTTTACTCGGTATTTACATTGCTTTCGCGACGTCTGCCCTCTTTCCAGTCGCCAAGCCTACCTCTGGACTTTGCTATGTTGTCTTTTGCCTTTGCGAGGGCTTTCAGCGAAAACTCGAAAATGCGTGGTCATAACTGTTCGAGGCTGCCTGTACGTTATCAGCCCCCCCCCCCACCCCCCGCCACCGCCCCCCCCCAAGCAACGCATGCAAAAGGGGTAGTGGGTAGGGGGGGGGCCTACTACTACTACTACTACTACTACTACTACTACTACTACTACTACTACTACTACTACTACTACTACCAGTACCACTACCACCACCACTACTACCACCACTACTACCACCACTACTACCACTACCACGACCACTACCACCAACACTGCGACTACCACTACCTCCGCTACTACTGCGACGACGACTTCTACTACCACCAACACCACCACGACGACGGCTACAACTACTACAACTACAACAGCAACTATTACTACTTATCCGTGGTGCCGCTGCAGATGCTGCTGTGGCTACTACTGCTTCTACTAGTAACCCTGCTGCTGGTACTGCTACTGCAGTTTTCCCATTGTTGCCGTCTCCATGCCCTTTCGCATTATCACTACTGCTGCCACCACGACTGCCAGCGCCACTATCGATAATCTTGTAAGTGCTACTATTACTAGAGCCATTTGAGCATGGTCCCGACTGTACAAGCAGAGATGTTATGAGTACTTCCTCTGTGTGAATGTTTGATATGAAATGGCTGCCAGGTGCTACTACTGTGGCTGCAATATTCATACTTCTTGTCCTCGGCCGAGAAATAATACTTTTTGCGATCCCTAAGCCCCTAAACCCTTTTCCTTATACTGCTGATGGACAAAATCCTGCATTACCCATTATAAGGAATATACCATAGCTCCCATAGTTTAGAGTCCTTAGGGTCATGCAGGATTTTGTCTATCAGCCGTATGAACCCGAAGCCCCATGACTGCACCTGAACACCAAGCAACACCGGCCTCGGCAGACTCGCGCTGAGAATGCCTGGCCATGTCCGACGAAATCAGCTTCAGAGTTGCTTTCATCTGCATCCTTCCGGCAGCGAGGGCAAAGGGTTTAGGGTGTAGGGACAGTTTAGGCTTTGGGTGCTTGGCATTAGGGTATGTTGGGGTTACAGGGTTGAGGGCTTTAGGACTACGACATTTGGAAGTTATGGAACTGCTTGCTCTGGTCTGGTGCATTCGAAGGGCGTGTAAAGCTGCAGCTTTCGCGCTTGGTTGGCCATCGGCCTTCCTAGCATGAAGGCTCGCGCAGATGTGGAGATAAGCTTCTGACAATACATGGGCTCTTAGGCGGTTCATGTGACAGCATCTCCTCATTCACTACGCATATTGTACTAGTACTGGGCTAGCAGAAGTTGTAGCACAAGTCGTCGTCGTCGTGGTAGTATCGGTGGCCGTCATCATTACGAACAGTATTCAAAATAGTACTAGTAGTAGTCCGACTACGACGACTGAGATCAAGAACATCGCCGCCATTACCACCAGTACTGGTAACAACACGAACAATACCCTGCTATGCCGTAGTAATGGTGGTACTGAAGCACAGTAACCGCAGTGATTATCAAGCAGCAAACCTTTGGTCGAGGAATCATAGCCAGTACCATTTTCACACTCGTCGAACCAGGGTGATGCTTCTACCGGGATCCTTTAACGACCTCATTAGCAGCCCCCTGTTTCCGAAAGTCCAGCGCAGAAACTTGCAGTCGCAGTTGCTCCCCAACCTTGGCCACAACACCTATTGCAATGCGCTCTGGGTCTCGCTCAACAATACTATTATCGGTATGACTAGCAGCATTGTTAGTCGTTTCAAACATAAGAGTGACGCCTGCAGCGACAAAGGGATCCGAATGGAGAGTCCTTCCCATATGTAACCGTTTAGATCTCCAATACAGCCCATAACATATGCTCTGGTGACCATTACATCGCCACACATGCCCTAGAAATCCCCACAGCTCCCCCATGAATCCCCACTCGTGTGGGTCCTCTCCAAGATGGTTCGAACACGCTCCACGTCGACGGTTCGTGGATTCGGGCAACCGAACACCAGATTCCTGGGAAGTTAAACCCGGGATCAGAGTTTAGGGTTGGGGTTTTGGGTTTAGGGCTTGGGGTTTTGTGTTCAGAGTCGCTGTTGAGGGTTAGGTGTTGGAGTTGGGGGCTTTGTTGTTTCGTGTTTCAGGGTTGGACTCCAGCCCCATACCCTTCCTAATCCTACCCTACAGTGCGATATTCTGCTCACGACTCCCCACCCAGAGACTCCAATATCCCTTAATTAAGGAGTATAACCAACATTATAGCAGGATCCCTAAAAATGTTAAAGGAATATTCCTTAATTAAGGGATATTGGAATCTCTTGGCAGCCCGAGCGTCCTCCAAGGGGAGAGGTTCATCACCAGCGCCTCCTGGGGCACGATTTGGGTTGTGAGGAGCTTTAGAAGAGGTTCAGTCAAGATGCTTGTATCGTACAAGGAGTACTTCACGCGCACGCCTTCCGGGATCCCCTCCACTGTGGCTAAACCCTACTACTAACGCCTTACTATAAATATAATAAGGAACCCCCAAAATAGTGTTGGTACGCACGTAGGCCCCTATGTTATAGAAAAATATCGAGAGCTTCCAGACCCTGATGCCCCCAAAAGACGGCTCCTGTGTGACGTGCAGCACACGGAGGTGCGACGGAATGAAGATCATTCCCTCCTCTGAGGAATTCTTAACAAGTTGGGGTTTTGGGTTTCTTCACCAGTTGAAGATTGTCCGTTTTGAGCCTTGCATTTGGGGACATGGATTTAGGGGTTCGGGTCTGGGTTTAGGGTTCGGCTTTCAGGATTTTGGGTCCGGCTTTGGCTACGTTGGTGTTCAGGAGCTCTCGGCGTCCAAGGACCTAAAACATTGAGCGCTTCTACTGCTGTGTATACCAGACATATCCAAAAGACGCTTCGGTGTTACCTTCTGAACCCTGATAGCAGAAAACCCCTAAACCGCAGACCGTATTTCGTACAGGCTTGAAGCCCTGTTCAAGCTTCTGCAATTCAGGACATACTCGGACAAGGGTCACAGCCACTCCTGAACTTCTGATTCTATTGATTCTAGCGAAGCCCCGACACTGTAAGTTTGCGGCGTTGGGTCGTTGGGAGACAACTACCACTTGGTAGCGCCCGCAATACCGGGATTTTCAACAAAGAGCCCAACATAACACCCGTGAATCTCTGCATAAGACGCCAATTTGACTCTCAACAAACCCATACAACATGAAAACAATACAACCTTAAACCCCAAAACAAATAGCATCACCCATAAAGCCGGATGCTGAAGCTTTCGTCGGAATGGTCGGGAAGGTCCTGCGGGAAGACCACATGCCCAAGCAACCTGGGGTGTTGAAGGTTCCTTTGAGCGGTGCTAAGGGGTCCTGTGCGGAGTTGTGGTCTTTGGTCACCCTAAACCTAAACACCTAAACCCCAAACCCCTAACCCCTAAACCCTAAACCCCCAGACCCTAAACCCTAAACCCCTAAACCCTAAGCCCGGGTCCAGGTTCGGAGGGCTTGGAGTTTTGGAGACGAGGATTTCTAAGCCGACGTGATTGCTTGCCAGAGGTAACTTGCAGCTAACCAACAGCACCCATGTCTGAGGCTGCTTGACAAGCGTTCAGACACTCTTTGAGGAGCTTCTTGCGGAAAAATCCGAAACCCAAATGTTAAAGCATTAACCCTGACACCCTGAATCGTCAACCTGAACGACAAAAATTAAACCCCGAAGCCCCAGAAACACAATCCCCTGACCCCACATCAAGCGACCCTAAACATCCTGAAACCCTAAATCCTCAATTCGCGACCCTGAACCCCAAAACCAGGGCCCATTATACTATCATTATAATAAGGAACCCCCAAAATAGTATGGTACCTTAAATCCTAAACCCCTTTTCCTTCCAGGCGGCCGCAGCAAGGTGGCCTTCCCCGAGCCGTGGGGCCCGGTGACGGCAACCAACTGGCCCTGAGGGACCGAGACCTCCCAGTCGAGAGGAAGGCCTTAACTAGTAGGGGCCGTAATATTCAGAATGGGGTTCCTTTAAAGGGATATAGGGGTTACAATACGGGATACTATAGTCGAGAGGAAGGCCTTAACTAGCAGGGGCCTTGATATTTAAAATAGGGATTCCTTTAATCAATATGCTCGTTTGTAGGGTTGGATCCGCGGGGGCTGGATCAGTGGGCTTGGCAAAAACCAAAGTTATCAAAATCAGAAGTCAACCTGAACAAAGACTTATTGGATACGTTACGACACGGTAGGTTTGTCCAGAATTAATGTAACTGGAGATTTGCAGACACTGAAAATTGTTGAGAAAACCATGAAAAAATGTAGTATTATTTCTGTCCAAGCCGGTGTGTGAACAGAGCAACCGGAAGCTGTGCCATTCCAGTGACTCCTTGCACCGACATTGGCACGTCGGGCAAGGTCACACTAGATGGCTGGCCTTTGTGTCCCCAAGCAAGGAAACTTGATGGCTCTTCGGGTGAGAGCCCGGCAACACCAACAGGTTTTCGCAAGGCTGAGGACGTCTGTGCAAGAGCCGGCAGAAGCTGCAAAGGTGTGACTCCCAAATTGTCAACAAGAAATTGTTCCTCAAGTGTGTTCACTTGTGCCATGCCACTGACCCCTTGCACCGACATGGGCACATCGGGCAAGGTCACAGTGGATGGCATCTATTGTTTCCTCACACTGCTCAGAACAACCTGTCAACTTAAACAGGTTGCTGCAAGGTTGAGGAAATCTTGAGTCAGCATGGCATTGCTTGGCAAGGTTGACGATTCGAATTGAGGAAATCTTGAGGAATCCTCCTCAAGTGGGGCAAAGAAGGCAAGAACGACGTCCAAGGCCCTGATTTGCCGGCGCATACTCATTCACTGAAAGAGCCATATCAATTCTGTTCCTCCAAGTGTGTTCACTGAGACAGCCACATCGACATAAGGCTGCAAGCAAATCAGACTTGTGTCTCAATTGTTATGCAACCTTCTCATCAGTCATCGCACTGTTTTACCTGTGTTGCTGCATGGCCTGCTGTTGCTGTTGTGTCACAGCATTCACACCCCAAAAACCAGTCACAGCAGATTGGCTTGAATAATAAAAAGCATGCAGCTCAGTAAGCTATGAAACGTATTTTGGCTGACGAAGCGGATCGTCACAATAGATTCCGGACAATCTGCGCAACTGCTTCCCCGAACATCGAAGTGTATTCCCCACTAGCCTGTACATCTGCTGGCACACCGGTGAAACGGCCGTCTTCGCCTCGGTTTACCAGACCAATGAAAGCATTATGATCTGGTTTGGGCCTGGCCAGGTTCTCAAAATGAAACCCAGGCAAATGCCACAGTTGCAAGGGCTTCACTGACTTTCCGTTAAAGGCACCCATGTAGGTGCAAGTCTTTTCGAAGCCACAAAAGGATAGAACTGTTTTGACACACTCGAGGTGCGGCATACAGGAGCTGAGGGGCTGTTCCACCACAGGGCAGCACTCACATGCCCATCCCAGGAAAATCCCAAGTGAGCAAACAAGGGCCTGACAATTTCCCTGCAATACAAAGTCCCGCTCAGTCCATGCGCCTTCCCAGCCGTTGCTTTCAGCACGTTGGGAACGAAATGAGCACATAATGACAAAAGAAGAGCACGGAGTGCCCCACCAATGCAAAGCCTTCTTCTCACACGCTGTGGCTGCATCCAGAAACAAACGCAACCCTTTCGCTAGCAACATGTTGTGTTCGTCATTGTAGAGTATGTCAAAGCTGCACCCACGGAGACCGGATTCGATCAATTTCTTCGAAAGTTTGGCGCTCCCTGCATAGTATTCAATGTATTGCAGCAACCCCGCACATTGATGGGGTCCCACATCGATTGAAGCTGCTTCAATCTTGGCTCTGTTGTCATAGCTACGGCTAATGATGCACATCAGCTGACACTCGATGGTTCGGTTCTTCAATGCGGGATAAGCCAATCCAATCAGCCCATGCCATTTCATGGCCACTCTGCCCACATTGAAGTCCTGGTCGTAGCGCAAGAAATTTTGCACCAAAATCCTTGCAACCATGAGCCTGTGACACCAAGGCTCTGTGGACCTGGCCAGCAAGATCAATTGAGGATGATGATAAGTTTATGTAGTATTACATTAATTAATGAAAAATTCAAATTATAACAAAATCTGTGACCCATAACACTTTGAACAGACTCCGGCCTTGGGGAGAAAGACAAGGAAGCAAACGGAAGGAAATGCGAACATTGCAATCGCGATGTTTGCTCGAAGACGTCCTCTACCCAAGTGTCAAACCGATCATCAATTTCATCAGTTCCTGTAACTGTATCGGTAAAATTCAAGGCAGGAAGAGTACACGGGCGCTCCACTGATCTACCTCCCAACTCAAATGACTCTGCAGCATTCTTTTTCCTTTTGCATTTCTTGCGTGCTGGCTTCACAGGCCCAGCACTACCACTGAAGACCAGCGATGATCCCAGCACATGCTGGCACGGCCACTGGAAATTGGACATGTTGGTGATTCACTGACATCAATACATTGATTTGTTGTCCCACATAACTTTAAACCATACCTCTGGTCCAACTTGAGCAACAAATGGATTCAATGCTTGCCTGGCATATCAAGCACATTCCACAAACTAACAGGACACAATGTCAGGAAGGCTTGTTTTTGCTGATCGCTTTCTCCCCGAGCAATCTGCAGCATAACTATGGTGAGACTTCATGATTCATGTCATGTCATCTTCAATTGCACACTTCAGGCATTCAGCAACTGTAATTGCAACGTAACTGTAAAGACTCAATCACAGAATGAACAGCAACTGCGCACAAGCTGAAGCCAAAATTGTGAATCGAACATGTTGCCGCTATGACAGCAGGAGCAGATTCACACACATTGGACTCGGCTGGATGAACTCACTCCCTGTGACTTCTTGAATCGACCGAAGACTTGAAGCTAAGAACACGATACTTGCATACATGACATTGACAGAAATCTGCAACCTGCTGACATGTTTTCCCCTGTGATGTGTTTATCACCAAAAAAAACTGAAGAGGCTACTTGGCATACTTTGTGGGCGGAGGCATTGCGTCGATAATCGGGGCAAGGCGTTCCAGGACAGCCTCAGGGATAGTGCCAGGCTGACAATGAGGCGGCAGTTGCCTTTCAGGTTTGGCCTTCTCCCACTCTGTCCACGCCCAGCGATGCACTTGAGCCAGTGCTTGCTTCCAGTCTGATCTGTCGTTAGCAAAGCTTTTGCTGCAAGACTTTTTCCCCTCACTTGACACATACTGTTTTGTCATGATCTCGGCTTTGAAGCGATGATCGTTGAAGCTGAGACGCAACTTGAAGTCTTCGGGTGGATCCAAC